TTTTTTTAATTTTTATTTTAATTCTCACTCATTCATATAAGCACATTTAAATCCACATATCTTCATATAAGATGAAAATAGAAGTTCCCTGCTACTTCCTCTCTACATTGTAAAAGCCTTCCTATTATATAATTTATTTCTAATTTTTTGCTAATTTAATATTGAATAAGTGCCCAAGTTGATCTCAGATATTTACTATGTGTTTATAACTTAGTTGTGGTTTCAAAATGTGTTACACGTAGGTATTTTGAAACCACTACAATTAACCTAATTTCATATGCTTTCATAATTTCTCCATATTCATACTTTTAACACTTCTATATTACCTCTTTAAATTTTATTTACTCACTTTCTTTTGACATAAATTTTTGGACAGTATTTGGTTTCTCCCTTCAGGTGTAGTCCTCATCATAATTCTCCCACCACCACAGCACTGAAACACGTACATATTGACAGACCTTCACTCAAACACATGAACATAGTCCTATGCTTACCACAGAGGCTTTTGATGATTTTCACACTCTCCTTTGATAACTTTTCTATTATTAGATAACACTTATTGGATAATTAAATTTCTATATAATTCTTGGGCCAAGACTTTAATTTATACATGTTTTCTCCCTGAAGTGGGCAAATGTCACTAAAGCTTGTGTTTCTAGAGATTCCAAACCTTCAGAAGCCTGTGCTTATTTAGTACATTTTCCAAAAAACACTTTTTGTCACAAGGAATCATAACACATGAAACTTCCTTCCATAATTTATTTTATTTCCGCTCACTCAACAGTATCTTACTGGCTCACCCTAATCAATGTGTATAATGTTGATTTATGATTTTAGTGATTGTATTACATTTCATGGTTTAACTGTGCTACTCACACAATTGCTGATATATCAGATTCTGAACTATTGTTACTATATCATTGTTACAAAAATGTGTTGAGATTGCCAAATTCATCCTATGCTTCTAACTTTGGACAACTTTGCCCACTGTCATACTGGGGAGGGTTTGGGAGAGGTCAAGGATGACCTAGCCTCCTGTAATCACTTTACTGACCCTACTACAGAGAACAATCTGGTCTAGAATATCAGTTGTGCTGGGAATGAGAAACTCTTGAGTTCAGGATATCTGTATTTTTTTGAATTTATACCTGTCTTAAGTTTGTTTCCCCAACCATATAGAATTTCACATGTATGCCAAACAATTATGAAGAGTCCCAACCCTAATCAATGTAAATCTTAGTTTTTCCAAGGCTGATGGCTATGAAAAAAATTAACTTGTTTTTGTGAACTATACATTGAGTTTGAGCTAAATCCATACCTTTGTTCAACAATTTGTATGTGGCCATATATGGCCATATATGATGTCTATTTTCCTATGGTTATGTCTTTCAAATGATTTTACTGACTAATGTTGCACAATGATTTTTGGTTAAGTATTTTTAGACATAAACACTTTTAAATGTATTTAGTTAAAAATGTATACCTTACTTTTGAGTCTCTGTTTTATTTAAGATCGTTTTCCCATTCACAGGTTGTACATGTAGTTATGAAGTGTTGATGTAGAATGTACCGGTTGCTCTTACATTGAGTTACAAGGTACCAAGACAGTATGCCACCACTTATTAAACAATTACTTTCCATGTAACATTAAATGCAATTTATAAACCTAGAATTTATGAAAAAAAATCATTAAAACTGGAATACCTGAGATTTGGGGGTAGAAGCTGGGAATTTCTTCATCAGAAATGGTAGAACAGGCCCTTTAATATCAAAATTAATTTCTTTATTGTAGAAAATCAATTGGATCAATGTAAGTAATGCCCTTATATTAAAATTAATCATCTCACCCAGGAAGGCATGTTAAGTGGTGTCCCCAAATCCAGAGAGGGTACTGGACTAGGGTTAGGGAAACCCTCACTTGTTCATCTCTGTGCCAGAGCCACTTGGATTACATGGCAGAGTTAATGACCACAGAGAAAGAACCCAGAAATAGGGACCTATATGGAATTGGAGTTGTAGGATGGGATGCTGGAGGATCTGGGTGGAGCCAGCACCATGCAAAGAATATGAGCTTATTAGGCAAAACTGTAGGTTTAGTACCCAGCTTAATAAATAAAAACTCATTCCCAAACTCAAATTGGTGGTCATTGGCAGCTCTCAACAGGAAATTGGAGCCAAATGGACCCCTGGTAATAAAAGGGAGCAAGAAGAGGGACTGTCTTCTTACTACGGGACAGAGTTTGCTGTTAACCAACCACTCTGTTGGTAATATGAACAAACCAGTAGCACAGTCAAGAAACCAAGTGCTAGGGCCAATTTCCCAGCAGAGGATTTCAAAGGCAGAATATTAATCTGCAAGTCCTTCCAAGTGTCAAGCTTGACAGGTTTTTTGATAAGGTCATAGAGAAAGACACTTCTTAAGAGATGCTGATCAGAGCCTAGATTTTCCTGATTGAAAAGTTTTGGGGGAAGAGCAAAGAGCCTTTATTGTAAATAGTGTCCTTTGGAAGAGTGAGCAAGCAGTAGCCGTTTTTCAGTTTTGTTCTTGCTGTTGGTGATTTATGTGTCAGCCTTTCATGAAATCATCTTTGATGGAAAACTGAAAGGAAGTGACAGTGTGGAAGGTCCAAATTTCATCTCCATTCTCTGACATCTTCTTCCCCTGCTTGTAGATTATATAAAAAGCCTTGTGGAAAGAGAAGATGTTGTCACAATGATGCAGTAAGTGCACTACCACACAGCGCTGCAGAGAACACAATGAAAATATTAACCCTGTTCTTTTCCTTTGCCTGGTAGTCAGTTCCACTGCATGGCCCCAGTGAACTTCACAAGAGTTACAGGTTTTCTTCTTTTGGGACTTTCTGAGGAACCCAAATTGCAGCCACACATATTTGGGCTTTTCCTCTCCATGTACCTCCTCACGGTGCTGGGAAACCTGCTCCTCATTGTGGCCGTCAGCTCCGACTCCCGCCTCCACACCCCCATGTACTTCTTCCTCTCCAACCTATCTTTTGTAGACATCTGTTTCACCTCCACCATCATCCCAAAGATGTTGCAGAACATCCAGACTCAGAGCAAAGCCATAACCTATGAAGGCTGCATCACCCAGATGTATTTTTTCATACTCTTTACAGGGCTGGATGACTTCATCCTGACCGTGATGGCCTATGACCGCTTCGTGGCCATCTGCCACCCTCTTCACTACACGGTCATCATGAACTCCCGGCTCTGTGGGCTGCTGGTCCTGGTGTCCTGGGCCATCAGTCACCTGCACTCTTTGTTAGAAAGCTTAATGGTGTTACGGTTATCTTTTTGCACAGACTTGGAAATTCCTCACTTTTTCTGTGAACTCAAGCAGATGGTCCAACTTGCCTGTTCTGATACCTTTCTAAATAACATGGTGATGTATTGTTCAGCTGTGCTCCTGGCTGGGGGACCTCTTATTGGGATCCTATATTCTTATTCTAAGATAGTTTCCTCCATACGAAGAATCTCATCAGCTAAAGGGAAGTATAAAGCATTTTCCACCTGTGCCTCCCACCTCTCAGTTGTCTCCTTATTTTATTGTACACTCCTCGGTGTTTATCTTATCTCTGCTGCTTCCCAAAATGCACAGTCTAGTGCAATACCCTCAGTGATGTACACCGTGGTCACACCCATGCTGAACCCCTTCATCTACAGTCTGAGGAACAAAGACATCAAGGGGGCTCTGAGAAGACTCTTTGGGAAGGCAGCTTAACGGGACCATTGCCCTTAGGTGAAGAAGTGCCAGCCATCCCATAGCTCAAAACCGTGGAGCCAGAAATTTTTCCAGTTTCCTAAAGTTTGTATATTTCACTTTTGTGTACATCATACCTTTGTATTCCATTCTTGCTCTTCCTGAGATTGCAAACTTTAGCATATAGTTTGTTTTATGATGGAGAATTATTATTCTACTCGTTAAGATCCTATTCTCTTCTTCAGCTCTGTTGGCAATGCCTACAGAGCAACAGCAAATAACATATCAAGTATATGTCTCTAAGTGGAGTTTACGTGGAATCACAAATCTATAAAGATTGACTAATGTACACAGAGTCATAAATGACTCAATGCAATGAATCAAAGCTTTATACACTGCTATATCATGAAATATTTATTATACATCTACTTATTGAAGTAATATTTAATGTTCATATTTGAGAGTTTTATATGTTGGGATGTAGCATTTGATGGTGTGTTATCTGTGCTTCTATTGGATTATTTTCCTCTGATATTGCATAGCATCCAGTACCACTAACACATATGAAATCATCCATTGCTTTAAGTGAAATAATTCCCCTTTTAATATTGTCATCACAACTAAAGGGGCAGCAAATGGACATAATGTACATGTCATCCACTATATATCTTCTTCGTGTTCAAGACTTTCTTCAATGTTTACAATGAAAGATGACTCACACGAGAACTTGAACTCCTGTGTAGTCAAACGATTCTTGACTACCAATTTTTTTCTCTACAAATACATGTAAGCTTCTAACCTGTCCTGGTTACTGGAAAAGGACCCACAATGGCATAAACTTTTAATATGGTCTCTGAAATATGGTTGAATAACAGAATGGTCATGAATATTGTCTCTAAGTATTAGAACAAATGCCAAAAATAAGAAGCAGCTGATTGTTTAAATATCTTCAAGTATGTCTGCTTTGATTACTGTATCAGTGAAATATGATTGCATAGGAAACCATTCTGAAAGCAATTGATTTGATAAAATGTATTAAATAAAAATGGATTTGTATAGTGGTGAGTTGTTCTGATCTCTATTGGGCTCCTGGTGCATTTGGTTAGCTGTGGGTCAATAGGGGAGGTTTGGTGACCTTCACTGGACATGCTAGTGGATTGTGGGCTCATCAAATGTAGGCTGTCCTTGCATTGCCTAAATTGGAACTATGCTTTCTGCTTCTTGTATCCTATTCCTCTACAGACCTGCTTGGATTTGTTCATCTTTCTGAGGCGAGTTCCAAGGAACAGATGCAGAAATGCCCACATCTTCTTAGGCTCTGCTGTCACTTTCTCCAAAGTCCTGGGTCCAATCTGACAGAAACTAATCCAGTCCAGGTACTAAGGTGGAGAAACAGATTCCACATCCTGGTGGGATTTGTTATATTGTCATAGAGTCAAAGACGTAGATATACAGACACGTGGAGAACTGGGGCCACAAACAGTTTGAGAAAACTTTTAAAAAATTTAGTAAAATAGTATATGTGACAGTATAAATTTACATTCTTTCTTTCTCTGTAAATGGAACATTAAATCTTTCCGTAAGCTGAATAGTATTCCATGGTGTGATATGCTACCTCTCCATGACTCAACACCCTATCAATGACGTCTTAGGGTGTTTCCATGTCCTAGTTTTTACAAATAATGCTGAGTAAACATTGAAGAGCACTGAATTGATGGTTCGTGATTTTTGGTCAGATGCTCAGTTATGGGATTGTTATCTCCCATGGTGTTTGCATTGTTAGTTTTTAAAGGATCACTTTATCAGCTGACTGTGGGACTAACAGTGTCATTGTATTCTGCTCTCTCTACATCTTCTCTAGTACTTGTTGGAGGACTTTTTAATATATGCCATTCTCACTAGTATGTTGCAGTGTGGTTTTGACCTGCATTTCCCTCATGAAAAGCAATAATGGCTTCCTGCTCCCCAACCCCACCCACACAGCCAGTGCCCAGAGCCCAGGAGGTAAAGAGAAACTGCTAGGTGGCCGGCTTGGCAACTGGCAGCAGAGATGGCTTGGAGGATATGGAAGAAACCTGGGGTATCAGAGGCTACAAAGATCAACAGGTGAGCAAGTGGGATAAGCTGTACTGTTACGGCGTGGGGCTGGCAGGCAGGAAAACTAGCTGGGGAGCCTTCTTTTCCATGCCCCCCACCACCACCACCACCACCTCCCAGAGACCTATGTGAATAAGCCCAGTGCTGAAATCTTACTGGGAGAAGTCTCTGGAGCCACCTAGTGACCAAACAAAATCTGCAGCCACACTCGCCTGAAACCAGGTGGCTTGCCTGAGGGAGAGCCATCAGGAAGAGCCTTCTAGGGCCAGCCCTTACTCTGGAGGCTTCTAAATACCATGAGCCCCTGGGTGGAAAGAAACCTATTCCCCTCTACAGACCTGCTAGCCCAACTTCCTCAGGGGACTAAAAAGAAAGCCAAACAAAACTGCAGACCTGTGAAGGCTACTCCACCCAGTCGTAGGATGCTCCCCAGAAGACCAACCTAAAACCACAAGGACTAGCTAAATGGGAATCATCAGGCGTCTGAGAGATAATTCCCCCTACCTATGGAGGCGTTTGTTGCTAGTTTGTTTGTTTTGTTGCTGCATTGCTCAGCCGGTAAAAATCTGTGCCTTTCCTTCATTTTTACCCTCGTTTTCTGTCTTCTCTAGCTTTCTCCTTCCCCTTCAACATTATTGTTACTGCTGTCTCTTCTCCCTCTGCTACCTCCCCTCCTTTCCTCCTCCTTTTCCCTGTACCCCCATTTAACCTTCACCTCTTCCCATCACCTTCTTTCCTATTACATTTCTATATCATCCTCCCCTTTCCCAACCCTCCTCTTTCAACTCCATTATTTTGCTGAAACACACCTAGAAGAAGTGAGAAGTTCAACAGAGAAAACCAGCCCATCCAAGTACTTCTTGCAGGCACCTCTCAAAGACTAAGACTCAATGTGTTACTGGAAGAAACTGAACTGCAAAAGAGACCCCTCGCTATTACTGGCTGAGATGACAGACCCAATTTCACACAGTGGGGGCTGGAAAAACAGGAGATACTGGAACAAAGCACAGCTCAGAACATCTTCCACAGCTGAAGTGTCTGGACATGTAGCCAACCACAGAGGCTTAGATACCTGGCAGACATTTTCACACCACATCGATAGTATTAGGAACCATGCCCACCAGCAACAGTGGCACAGGAGTACTTAGAACGAAACAGAAAGCTAATAGGAAAAAGAAAAACACAAGTTATCAGTCAGGCCCCTCTGGAAATAGTAAACCCCAGAGAGAAAGTCGTTCCCCAGAGAGCAATATTATGGAAACAGAAGAATACCTCCACCTAGCAGACAAAGATTCCAAAAGACCATGGTGGAAACAATTAAAGAGCTAAAAGAACAAGCAGAAAGATAAAAATACAACCAATGAGCTGAGGAAGAGAGTGAAAGATCTGGAGGATAATCAAAAACAGGTGGAGGAGCTCAAGAACTCTGGGAAATGCCAAGAAAACAGAATAGAAGAAATGGAAGAACAAATCAGCTAGAATGGAGCTTCCATGTGATCCAGCAATTCCACTCCTAGGTATCTATTTAAAGGACACAAAAACAATAGTTCTAAAATACATCTGCACCCCTATGTTTATTGCTATGCTATTTACAATAGGGAAGATGTGGAATCAACCCAAATGCCCAAAAATAGATGAGTGGATCAAGAAGCTGTGGTACATATACACAATGGAATATTACTCAGCAATCAATAAAGATAAATTCATGCCATTTGTGGCAACATGGATGGAATTGGAAAAGATCATGCTTAGTGAAATAAGTCAGAAAGAAATAGAAATATCAGATGGTTTCACTCATAGCAGGAGTATAAGGGGTGGGGGTGTCGGGAGGGGATATGTGTGTGTGTGTGTGTGTGTGTGTGTGTAGTTTGTAAAAAAAAAAAATTAACTAACAACTATAAACCAGAGACATTCTGCAGGGAAGGAGAGGGGAACAAGATCAAAACAGAGGTGGGAAGAGCACATGGGACAATGGTGATGGCACATGGGTGAAGTGGTGGTGGGAAGTCCATGAGGATTACAACTGAGATGAAAAAATGTACAAAATGAAGAACAATTTAAAAAATGTACTTATAAAATTTTAAAAAGTCCCTTCCCAACACTTCTCCATTTTTTTCCAGTACTTCTCCAATTCTTTTTTTTGTTTTTTATTTTCCCAGTAAAAGCATGCCTGCAGGGAGGTTCCCAGCTCACCTTTTCTTAGTTTGCTTCAGACTGACCAGCGGGAGATTAGTGCCTGTGAAAGCTGAGGATGGAGTGACTGGACAGTGTTTCCTGGGAAGGATATTGGCACATCTGTAAACAGAGATGTAGAGGGGCCCCAGGGGCGCATGGGCTGCTCTGTGTCCACTAGGAGGAACCCCAGCAACTTTGGAGAAGGTCCCCGACTTCCAGGCTTTACTTGGTGGCGGTCGTTGGTCCCTGACAGTTGAATTTGAGTCTTTATCCCAAAGGCCAGGAAGCCTGGAGGCATTTTCAACCAGAAGTGCCAAACCAGAAGACCTGCCTCTCTGATTTGGTGCTTCCTGGGGTAGTTAGGAGTTGGAGACATAAAGCCCTTCTTGGCCAAGCTGAGCAGAGCTGACAGCCTTAAGGGAGAGGCCTCTGGCTAGGTGCCAAGGTGCGTTTCATTTACTCTAGGTAACTATGGGTTTCATATCTTTCTAAGGTCTTCAACACTTAGCTGACTAAACACTGGGCTAGGGTTCCCAGAAGCCCACAGCTGACCTCAGTCAGGTGTGAGAGGGAACCCCCTCTTCTTTCAACAGCATTTCTCCATGTCCCAGGGCTTCATGGCAGCCTGGAGACCCCAGTCCACTGCCAGTCCAGGGCCTACACTTGGGCCCTGACCCATAGGCCACAAGTAGTGTTGTCCAGGACTTAATTTACTAAATTGCCATAACGCATTAGCCCCTTTTCAGACA